TTCCAACTCATACCATTCTGTGATTCTATGACATGTCCATCTTCAGCCTCTTCGTCTTCAGCACCCACTAGCAGCTTTGAGGACTTCAGCCCCTGGAATACTTGCTTGGCTGTAGGCACCTGCACCATCAGAGCTGATCAGCTCATCTGTCAGTACTGGAAGGGCAGCACGATGGTGCACACCCCACCTGGAACAGCCTGCTCACAAGATACTCGGGATGCCAGAGACAAGGCCTGTAATGCCTCCTCCTGCCTGAACTGCAAATCCCAGACCTTGGCAACACACACACACACAGAGCAGATGTGAGGGACACAACCCAGCCTTCACACACACACACACAGATGTGAGGGACACAACCCAGCCTCCTGCTTCATCACATTCACAAATCCATTAACTCTCACGGAAGTTTGGGGTTTACATAACACGCAACACGTAACCGTATCCTGCTCAATCTCAAACGAGCTTTGTTCAGGACTTACTTTTTTATGAAACTCTGTAGTTGCTTCCATCAGTTTCCTCTCCTGATCTGTAAACTGTGGACAAACAACAAATCATAATTGCTGGAACGGAAAACAAGACACAGGACTGACAGGGGCATCTTGACAGACCACTTACCATATCCGTCACTCTGCTCCTTTCCAGGTTTATGTCCAGCTTGCTGTCAGCTCGGATTTTACCAGTTTCATTCTTTAAAGCAAACAAAGACTATGTAAATAACTATTTACTTTCCCTAAGAGGAGTGTGTAGGTACTTGCTCTTTACTTACCATTAGCTGCTGTTTCACTTGATCTAATTCAATTTTCATTTTCTAGGTGCAAAGGAAGAAAATAAAAAACGATTTTATAAATTCAGAAAACTGCTGACCAAGTTAATCAGTCATGTAAGTGTCACCCCTGCACACACACCATTACTCTTCCATAAGTTTTCTCCCAAGGGAGCAATTTGTTCTTGATTAAATATCTAACTAGTGTGTTCAATCTGTATAGCCACACAGAATCTGCTGGGAATTTTCCTCAAAATAAAGGGTTTATTTTGTAACTATGATGATTGTCTTATTCCGAGACTAAAGACAGCAGAAAAATGCCAAAATGCGATCAAGCAATAGCAAAATGTGTCTCCATCACCAGTTTAATTACAGAATCACACAGAATCACAGAATGTTGGGGATTGGAAGGGACCTCAAAAGATCATCCAGTCCAATCCCCCTGCCAGAGCAGGAACCTAAATGAGATCACACAGGAAGGCGTCCAGGCGGGTTTTGAATGTCTCCAGAGAAGGAGACTCCACACCCTCCCTGGGCAGCCTGTCCCAGGGCTCTGTCACCCTCACCGTAAAGAAGTTTCTTCTGAAATTTAAACTGTTGCAAAGAAACAGGTGACTGCTGTCCCTGCATTGCATGGTTAATGGTGACCAGACTTTACCAGAATCACCCTTCAATAAAAATACAGAAGACCATTTTAAGATTTTTTTTTTCTTTACAGAAGAACTTATCACCACATGAAATATATTTTTCTGTGATCACAGAACTTGTAATCTACAAACACTTCAACCCTGATAAAAGTATCCATAATTACTTTTACATTCATATTTTGTTCCACAAAAATACACAATGGGTTATTCCTGTTAATTTAACTGCTTAATTAAAAATATTTACAAGTACCTCATTCTCTGCTCTCAAGTTTGCAAATTCGCTTTTCTCCAAGATGACCATGTCTTTCCGAATGGAGTCCAAGTGTGCCATTATCTGCTGTAAAGTTATTTCCTGAGAAACAATAACACATGTCAGTGGTTAAGTTGCACACTTTCTGGTAAGAAAAGGTTTTTAAGTCGGAAATTATGAAATTAGTTACTGCAAAGCACAAAAATGGGGAGACTCTAACAAGAAAGTAACAGAAACACTGAATTTTACAGCTGCCATTTGTTTGAAAGACTCAAGAAGTTTGTGTTTTGTGCTTTTTCTGTTGCTTTAATACAGAAACTCTGAATTAAAGCAAAAAAGCTGGAGGTATTAGTCCAAGTAGCTATGAAATTCAATAGACCCAAAACTTCAGGTTAATCCTTCACTGTCTTTGATTTTCAATGACTGTTCAGCAGCCTACGAAGCATTCATTGTTGAATAGAACCCAGCTCCTACAGAAGCATTTCCATTTCCTGCCCACAGAGTCATCACAAGCTGGGATATGAATGACACACATGTCACACTGTCCTCTCAGCATTAAAGTCTGAGGGACACTAGTAAAACATCGCTGAAAAACAACCAGAAAAGCCTTCCTGGTGTTTGGACTAACAACTTCGGAATTCATCTGCTAGTTATAAACTACAGAGGGGAATGAATGAATAAATAAATAAACTTTGTACTTTAGCATCTCAAAAGCAACACCCCTTTAGCTGGCATGGGGAAGATATCCTACTATTTAGCACAGAAAATTACATATCTCTGGGGGATTCTGCTTTTAAAGCTGAGAGCCAGCAAAATTAAAAGCTCTCATTCAGATGACGAGCCAACAGTATTTATTGAACTAAATAAGTTAAAATATGCCCTGACCCAACTTCCACTGAAGTCAGACTACTTCATTGAACACAACAAAGTTTTTACAGTTCCTGGGAGAGCTTCAGTTGCATTTACACTGAGGAGCTCGTTTGTCTCATCCCATCTTAAAACATTCAGCCTCCACCCTGACTACATTATAAAACCCCGTGTTTCTGTCGAGCACAATTCCATGCAAATTATATTTGTGATCCTGACTTTCTTTACAGATGACAGGCTCTCCAAAAAGAGAGATTTCCATTTTGTTGAAAAAATGGACAAAAGTTCTTGTCTTCTGAGATTTACAGAAAAAAGTTAGATAACTTTATGAAGAATAAATGCCACTAAGATAAAAATCTGTTGGAAGTAAGGCTCAGCAGTTTCAATAAAACAGCAATGAATGCAGAACTGCATTAACTCATTGAAGAAGAGCGGCAGGGAATTTCAGCTTGCACAGCCTTCCTGAGTAATTATTAAAACCATTACTGTGCATCAGAGCTTTATTATCCTGGCCCAGATGTCCAGCCTACAAGTAAAAGTGAAGTTCTTTTTATTTTGGCAATTTGTTAAAATGAAACTTGTCACCTCCTCTGTTATCAGCAGAAAAACCAGTCGTGCTGCTTAACTGGGCCAGTGCCTCCAGATGTGTCCACCAACATCAGCCTGAGCATCTAAGTGAAGGAGACACCTCGATGCTTTGCTTGAGCACAGGCTGAGGCCCAGTTGACCCAACCAGCACAAGCAGCTACAGTTTGTACCAACAAGTGAATAATTCACAGCCCACTTCTGTCCCCGAGGGCACGTGACACACCACGGAGTACATCCAGATGGCTAAAATCTCCTCCTCCCAAATCAGGGTGGCTCTGTCCACCCTGCCTGGTGGGAACAGTTCCTGCCCTGACACTTTCACATCAATTGTGCCCTGGTCAGGGAGACAGATTGCTGGCAGAGGTCAAAATCCAGCCAGGGCTCCACAGTGGCTCTGTGTGACCATGTGGTGGTGTTTGTGCCCACACTCGAGCCACGTCTACCTTCTACTATCGATGAAGCTTTAGGGACTGAAATGCAGAGTGAAACAGACACAGCTTTAATAGTAGATTTTAGGTTATGAACAGGACAAATACAGTGTAGCTAGAACCCAGCTGGCATTGCTACGACAGTTCAATAAAAACACCGACAATTGTCTGATATTTTATGTGGTTTTGTTGTCTCAGGAACCTCCTGAATCTCTCTTCTGCCCTCAACCCTCGTAACGCACAGTTAAGTTTGCTTTCACCGCAGAGTTTTTCAGCAGCAAAGGAAGCAATCTCTGCACTGCACTTATATACTGTGGCTGAATTTGGAAAACATTCCTGCGAGATGAAAGGTTTAAGATATTGCTCTTCTTAATGCCCCCTTGAAACTTAGATATTGCTCTTCTTAATGCCCCCTTGAAACTTAGGAAAACCTCTCTCAGTCAAGTGTTTATAGTACTACAGAAACCCTCACTGTTTGGGCCCCTCACTGCAAGAAGGACATGGAGGTGCTGGAGCGTGTCCAGAGAAGGGCAACGGAGCTGGGGAAGGGTCTGGAGCACAAGTGTGATGAGTTCCCGGCTGAGGGAACTGGGGTTGTTGAGCCTGGAGAAAAGGAGGCTGAGGGGAGACCTTCTGGCTCTGTCCAACTCCCTGAAAGGAGGGTGTAGAGAGGTGGGGGTGGGTCTGTTCAACCGAGGACCAAGGGACAGGACAAGAGGAAACGGCCTCAAGTTGCACCAAGGGCAGTTGAGATTGGATGTGAGGAAGAATTTCTTTGCTGAAAGGGTTCTGAGGCATTGGAAGGGGTTGCCCAGGGCAGTGGTGGAGTCCCCATCCCTGGAGGGATTGAAGAGTCGTGTCGACACAGTGCTGAGGGACATGGGTTAGTCGGGGACTTGTCACTGTGACGTTAATAGTTGGACTTGATGATCTTAAAGGTCTTTTCCAATCGAGGCAATTCTGGGATTCTGTGAGAGTTGCTCACTCATCTTTCAAATATGCAAACATGAGCCACTGCACGTGGCTGTGCACGTGCACCTTCCATTACTTGTTACCTGCTGAGCCTGTGTAACCATATCCTTATAGACTGTGTCCAAGCTGACATTCGACAGGGTTATTAATGCTGATACGATGGTCTCTGCTTGTTCCTTCCCAAAGCCTGGAAGACAGTTGAAGGATGACAAGTTAAGGCAATGTTAGAAAGCTGGATGAAGAGAAGAGAAAGAGGTACCTAATAAACCGGGACACTCAGGTGCTGTGCCACTATGGTGGCAAGTCACACAATTACTGAAAGCTGACAGCCAGGAGCCAGCCCCTGTGACTTTTAACTAAAACACGGACTTAATGCTGCAGAAACCCGAGGCACATTGACTGTCAGAACACTGGAGCAGTCTCTGCATGCACCTGACAGGAAAACCAAATTTCTGTACATTGTTTAACTGTTCATGCATGATAAAAATAATCCAGCAAATTTTTACTTTATCGTGAGCTTTCACAAATTCTGTCAAAACCAAACTTCCCTTGAGCTACAAATCACACATCCTACACAGTAATGAAATGTTCAAACTGTCTGGTACAGAACACACGCAAAACTGATGTTAAAACTGCTGCCTCCACTGCCTGCAGAATGAACTCAAACTGGGATTTTTGCTCCCTAATGATAAAAATTACACTTTGTCCATAGCTTGGTGTAATTCTGAAGTGTTAAAGATGATGTACAGTGGAAACAGTGGAAAAAAAAAAACCAAACCAAAACCAGCTGCCATTTTAGACATATCTGATCTCATGCTGAGAGCTTTTGCCCTGAAGGTTTATTTCCAGCAACCTCACTGATGTTGTATTTCATTGGCCCACTTTATAAAGTGAGATAAACTAACATTTTGTTGAAAAATGCTTTCAAGGCAAACTATTTAGAGAAATAGGCCACTGTTCCCTTCTAAAAATCCTGGTACTGTCAAGCTGCATTGTCAGTTTACATCACTAAAAAAGCTGAGCATGTCTTATGACAGTTTCCCTCCACTACGAGGTGCTTCAGTCCCTCTGAGTTTTCAGGGTTACTTAGGTTTTTGACAATTCATTATTTTGTTCTTCCTCTATAGCAAGAACTGTTCTTGTTGCATGGAAATTTAGAAAATGTGGAGAAATTCATATAAGCAAGGGAAGGGAGCCTGAAAACTGCCTGCACCAAGTATAAGAAAAAGTAAAAGCCTCTCTGGCTTTCATGATATGTACAAGTTTCACCTACAGACCTGTCACTGTAGCACTGAAGTATTTGTAGAAGTGATGAAATAAATTAAACTGAATAACGACACAGTGCACCAGCACCAGACTTAAGCCCAGGAGTTCTAAAGAAACTTAAAGAAGAAGCTCATTCACCACCACTCGCACTTGGGAGTGGTGGTGAGTGAGAAGCTG